AGAATAAAATCCCTAGTAATACAACTTACAAAGGACGTGAAGGACCTCTTCAAGAAGAACTACAAATCTTTCCTTGAGCAGTGGCTCAAGGAAATAAGAGAGGACACAAATGGAAAAACATTCAATGCTCATGCATAGAAAGAATCAGTATCATGAAAATGGCCATACTGCCCAAAGTAATTTATAGATGCAATGCTATCCCCATCAAGCTACCATTGAGTTTCTTCACAGAATTAGACAAAACTACTTTAAATTTCATATGGAACCAAAAAAGAGCCCGTATAGCCAAGACAATCCTAAGCAAAAAGAACAAAGCTGGAGGCATCATGCTACCTGACTTCAGACTATAATATAAGGCTACAGTAACCAAAACAGCATGGCACTGGTACCAAAACAGATATATAGACCAATGGAATAGAACGGAGGCCTCAGAAATAACACCATGCATCTAAAACCATCTGATCTTTGACAAACCTGACAAAAACAAGCAAGGGGGAAGATTCCCTCTTTAATAAATGGTGTTGGGAAAACTGGCCAGCCATATGCAGAAAACTGAAACTGGACCCCTTCATTACACCTTATACAAAAATTAACTCAAGACGGATTAAAGACTCAAACGTAAGACCTAAAACCATAAAAACCCTAGAAGAAAACCTAGGCAATACCATTCAGGACATAGGCATGGGCAAAGACTTCATGACTAAAACATCAAAAGCAATGCCAACAAAAGCCAAAATCGACAAATGAGATCTAATTAAACTAAGGAGCTTCTGCACAGCAAAAGAAACTATCATCAGAGTAAACAGGCAACCTCCAGAATGGGAGAAATTTTTTGCAATCTATCCATTGACAAAGGGCTAATATCTAGAAACTACAAGGAACTTAAACAAATTTACAAGAAAAAAACAACCCCATGAAAAAGCAGGTGAAGAATATGAACAGACACTTCTCAAAAGAAGACATTTATGCAGTCAACATGAAAAAAAGCTCATTATCACTGATCATTAGAGAAATGCAAGTCAAAACCATAATGAGATACCATCTCAGGTCAGTTAGAATGGTAATCATTAAAAAGTCAGGAAACAACAGATGCTGGAGAGGATGTGGAGAAATAGGAACATTTTTACACTGTTGGTGGGAGTGTAAATTAGTTCAACCATTGTGGAAGAGAGTGTAGCAATTCCTCAAGGATCTAGAACTAGAAACACCATTTGACCCAGCAATCCCATTACTGGGTATATACCCAAAGGATTATAAATCATTCTACCATAAAGACACATGCACATGTATGTTTAATGCAACACTGCTCACAATAGCAAAGACTTGGAACCAACCCAAATGCCCATCAATGATAAACTGGATAAAGAAAATGTGGCACATATATACCATGGAATACTATGCAGCCATAAAAAGGATGAGTTCATGTCCTTTGCAGGGACATGGATGAAGCTGGAAACCATCATTCTCAGCTGGAAACCTCAACTAACAGAGGAACAAAAAATCAAACATCACATGTTCTCACTCATAACTGGGAGTTGAACAATGAGAACACATGGACACAGGAAGGGGAACATCACACACTGGGGCCCATCGGGGGGTAGGGGGCTAGGGAAGGGATAGCATTAGGAGAAATATCTAATGTAGATGACGAGTTGATGGGTACAGCAAACCACCATGACACGTGTATACCTATGTAACAAACCTGCATGTTCTGCGCATGTATCCCAGAACTTAAAACATAATTTTTTTAAAAAAAGCAAGAGAATTCAGAAATTGATAGAATCTAAGAATAGATATTCAGATATTCTCCACGTAGAAAAACAAACATGAAACAGGGTGCCCACTCACTTTCTTAATAGGAAAGAAAGCTCGGCCGGGCGCGGTGGCTCAAGCCTGTAATCCCAGCACTTTGGGAGGCCGAGACGGGCGGATCATGAGGTCAGGAGATCGAGACCATCCTGGCTAACCCGGTGAAACCCCGTCTCTAGTAAAAAAATACAAAAAAATAGCCGGGCGAGGTGGCGAGCGTCTGTAGTCCCAGCTACTCGGGAGGCTGAGGCAGGAGAATGGCGTAAACCCAGGAGGCGGAGCTTGCAGTGAGCCGAGATCTGGCCACTGCACTCCAGGCTGGGCGACAGAGCGAGACTCCGTCTCAAAAAAAAAAAAAAAAAAGAAAGAAAGCTCAATTCAGATGTTTTAAGATGACTCAGGCCAGAGTTTAATGATTTACGATAAACAAATCATGCAAAGCAGAATCCTATGCATTCTATCCAACAGGATCAGAGTATGGAAAAAAACAGAATGGAAAATGATTTTTAAAATCTGACTTAAACTCACTTTTTTTTTTTTAAGACGGAGTTCTACTCTTGTTGCCCAGGCCAGAGTGTGCAATGGCGTGATCTCAGCTCACGGCAACCTCTGCCTCCCGAGTTCAAGTGATTCTCCTGCCTCAGCCGCCTGAGTAGCTTAGAATACAGGTGCATCCCACCACGCCCAGCTAATTTTTTGTATTTTTAGTAGAGACGGGGTTTCACCATGTTAGCCAGGAAGGTCTCAATCTCCTGACCTCGTGATCCACCCACCTTGGCCTCCCAAAGTGCTGGGATTACAGGCATGACCACCACACCCGGCCTCTTTTCTGGTTTTTCTAACCATAAAAAGATTTAATCACCTCTTAAAAGTCACTTAAAAAAATCATACTAAACCAGTTACCTGTATGGCAGTATCCTGATTTATCCGGCTTGTATCAAACTTACCATATAAAAATATCAATCATAGGAAATGGTGGCCACATTCAGTGACTCAGCTTTTGGAATTGCTCCTACCCCTCTGTAATGGGTCTATTCTTGGGCCACTACTAAGGTACCTTACAGTAAAGCATTTGAGTTTTAACCATTTTCAGCAAAATCAGTTACTTTTTTCACAGGAACACATACGGTAGTAAGTCACAAACTTTGGAACAAAATATAAATTTTGTATTCACCAGTCAAGTGTTCTTGGATAAAACACAATCCCCGAGCCTCCATTCTCTCATTCATAAAGTGGAGAAATTTTATCATAGTGAAGGATTTCCCTAAGGTAAGCTGCAAACTATACCCTCTTCACTTTTCCAGTCAATTTTCAGGCATTCTTTCCATTGTTTTCTTTCCTCCTGTTCCTGGTATATGACAATGCATCACACACACACACACACACACACACACACACCCCCACACCCCAACAGACATTCTTCTTCCCTTTTCCTTCACCTTGAGCTGCAGATGCTCCCTTGTCCTCTCCCTCCTGAGCGGGTGCAGGATCCTGACTTTGATTTGCTGGTTCTCCTTCTTCAGGTTTTGGTGGTTCCCCTTCTTCATCACTGAACTGCTCGGACTAGGGAATATGTATGTATGTACAAATTTTTTAAAAAAAAGTTTTGTTCATAAATGTCAATTATATGTACACAGAATACATAGATGTTTCTGACACTAACTAAGCCTAAAGACATTTCTCCAATTCTATTCTCTATGCTCAATAAGGTTATCCTACCCATAGAAAGGTTACTCTGAGAAAAGTTATCCACAAGGACTTTGGAAGTGATTATACTCTGTGTTGGAATAGATGTGTACAATTTGCCATTAACAAGCATGAGAAGGGAGTCATGGGCAAAAGCTGGAGAACACAAGAGAAAAAAAAATCATTCTGAATCAATGTTTCCTTCGTGAGACACCATATTCATTTTTTATCAGCATGAAAGACTTTTATCAGTGTATGTATAGTAATGCAACAACACTATCAAAAAGATTAATTTCTGCTAATAGAAAACATCGAATGTTAAAGCACTCACCAACATACGCCCAATAACCTCAGGAGGTTCTACATTGAGTCTTGGTCTAGGCCGGTAGGTTGATCTTCCTCACCAACTCACATTTCACACTGCAAAAAGAAAACTGTGATTGCGAACATGCACCTGAGAGGATAGCTGTATTCGATCACTTCCATGGCTAAATGTTAACTTGTCATTTTGATTTTGAAAATACGTTCAAAATAAGTCCCAGAGTTAAGCATATGAGTGTACGTTTCCTGAGTGCTTGCAAAGCCACTTACGGTGGTCAAGCTGGCAGAGCAATCATCTTAAGGCGTGTGACAAAAGGCAGAGGACATTATTTTAAAATTTATTTTGGATGGGGGATCTCGCTCTGTTGCTTGGGCTGCAGTGCAGCGCCGTGATCACAGCTCACTGCAGCCTTGACCTCCCGCTCAAGCGATCCTCCCGTCTCAGCGTCCCGACTAGTTGGAACTACAGGCACGCGCCACTACACCCCACTGACAGAGGACATTTCTGATAAGGTTTAGTTTCACAAGTGGACTCCACATGAAAACACTAGTGAATCACAATTCCCGTGACTGCTGCTTTTGGCACACTCCCACTTACTAGGGCCATTCACCCCCTTAAATCAAGTTTGGTTGAATCACACAGCCTCACCCAGTCCTTCCCATTGTTTCTGGACCATCCATGGCGGAGGTGAGACCTTGCAATGCTTCTCACTCAGGCGCTACTCACTCCACACCACTAAGGGGTGCTCACCAGCCTGCAGCATTCCCAGGTTGCAGGCCTCTTCTTTGCGGCCCACCTCGCCTCTGCCAGGGGCCCCATTCAGGACTCAGGAATGTGCCCTGTCTCGGGGGTTCCCGGCACCTCGGGACTTCTATCCCTCCAACAGCACCCCCAGTACTCACCCATCTTCACCCGAGCCCCTGACCGCCTTCCCTCCACAGCCTACCTTACTCCCTGTCCTGGCCCCTTCACAACCACAAAGCTGATGGTCCGGTCGCAGACTGTGAGAAGGAGGAGGAGGATGACCTTGAGGCCCTTCTCCCTCAGAGGCCACGAGGCCCTTCTCCCTCAAAGGCCACAGACCATCACACCACGGGACCCACCGGACTCGCCTGAAGCCCACTGGCTCCTCCTCTCCCTCACTCACACTTCAACTTCCAGGAGGACTGGCCTGTGGACCTACCAGATGAATCTCAGTAGAGGAAAAAGTGTCCAGATGGCAGGAACGCTACTGCACACCCTCACAGCTCCCTGGCGTTCTCCACGTGGGCTAAGGGGCAGACGGGAAGACGCCCAGTGAACATGCGCACTGAGACAGGTGCCCAAGGAGCATGCGTGGCTACGGGGCAGGAGAGGGCAGCAGTTCCCAGTCCCACACCCGAAACCCCCGATTCCCATCCCCATTGAGGATAATGGAATCCGACCTCCCTCTGCTGTTTCCTATGCCTCTGGGACTCAAATACCTCAGATAGTGCTCCCCTCAAAACTCACTCCATCTTCAACTGAACCCCCTTCCCCTCCAGGGCTCTCTCTTGCCCTGGCCCCACCATGGTGACAAGGACCATGCTTGCTGCCTGTGAAGAGAGGTAAACCACCTGTTAAAACAGAAATACCAACTTACCCCATAACATTTACACAAGATCAAGAGTCTCATAACCTGATATTCAAAATGTCCAGCATGTAAATTGAAATTACTCAGAATTTGAAAAACCAGGAAAATAGGGGAACTCAAATGGGGAAAGACAATGCACCAACACCAATGCTAAATAGACATGTTGGGATTATCTGGCAAAGCCTTTAAAGATGCTATTTTTAAAATGCTTAAACAAGCAATCATGAACACTTTTGAAACAAGTAAAAACAGAAAGCCCTGGCACAAAAAAAGAATATTTAAAGAAGAAACAAATGGAAATTTTAGAAGTGGAAAATATAATAACCATGGAAATAAATTCTCACTGAATGGATTCAGTAGCAGAATGGAGGCAAGAAAAGAGTTTGTGAACTCAAAGAGATAAATAGAAATCGTTCTGGCCGGGCGCGGTGGCTCAAGCCTGTAATCCCAGCACTTTGGGAGGCCGAGACGGGCGGATCACTAGGTCAGGAGATCGAGACCATCCTGGCTAACCCAGTGAAACCTCGTTTCTACTAAAAAATACAAAAAACTAGCCGGGCGAGGTGGTGGGCGCCTGTAGTCCCAGCTACTCGGGAGGCTGAGGCAGGAGAATGGCGTAAACCCAGGAGGCGGAGCTTGCAGTGAGCTGAGATCCGGCCACTGCACTCCAACCTGGGCGACAGAGCCAGACTCCGTCTCAAAAAACAAAAAAAAAAAAAAAAAAAAAAAAGAAATCGTTCTATCTGGCCAAGAGCAGTGACTTTTACCAGTAGTACTAGTATTTTTGCAGGCTGAAGTAAGAAGATAGATGGCTTGAGGTTAGGCATTTGAGACCAGCCTGGGCAACATAGTGAGACTCATCTCTACAAAAAAAAATAAATAAATAACAACAGCCCAGGCCCAGTGGCTCACGGCTGTAATCCCAGCACTTTGGGAGGCCAAGGAGGATATATCACCTGAGGTGAGGAGTTCAAGACCAGCCTGGCCAACATGGTGAAACCCTGTCTCAACAAAAATTACAAAAATTTAGCCAGGCATGGTGGTAGGCACCTGTAATCCCAGCTACTAAGTGAATGAGGCAGGAGAATTGCTTGAACCTGGGAGGCAGAGGTTGCAGTGAGCTGAGATCATGCTGCTACACTCCAGCCTGGGTGAAAGGAGCAAGACTCTGTCAAAAAAAAAAAAAAAAAAAAAAAAAAAAAAAAAAAACCTGTAAAAATAGCTGAGTGTGATGATACATGCCTGTAGTCCTAGCTACTGTGAACACCAAGAAGGGAGGATCCCTTGAGCCCAGGAATTCAAGGCTGCAGTGAGCTATGATCTCACCACTACACTCCAACGTCGGCAACAGAGTGAAACTCAGTCTCTAAAACAAAAAGAAATTGTTCAATATGAACAAGTCAGAGAAAGAGACTGACAGAAAAATGAATACAACCTCAAGGACCTGTAAGAAAATGCTAAAACATCTATCATTTGTAGCATCAGAATCGCAGGAGAAGTGAAAGTGTTATGTAACCAGGAGCCTAGGACAGCCAGAGTGACACCATTTTAAAATCAACTCCATCATGAAACTAGCAAGGCACATTCCTGGCCAGTCACAACACATGGTCCTAAGATGTTTGTAGTTGAGAAAACAGACTAAAGATACCTACAAGGACATACTCCCACAGCAGTGGAAAGTCCAGGGTTCCCAACATCCATAACAATATACGCTTTCAAAATAATTATAGTTATGCTTTGATGTACTTACACACTAGAAAGTCAAGGATAGTTTTCTTTAAATCAATAGAATGATAAACTTCATCATGCTGTTAGCCCACCACACAGAGGTACAGATAACTTTAGTCTTTACATAGACAAGACCCCTATATAAGAAACACACTAGGCCAAGGCTCACGCCTGTAATCCCAGCACTTTGGGAGGCTGAGGTGGGCAGATCGCCTGAGCTTAGGAGTTCAAGACCAGCCTGGGCAACATGACAAAATCTCATCTCTACAAAAAAAAAAATAGAAAAATTAGCTGGGCATGGTGGCATGCACCTATAGTCCCAGCTACTCAGGAGGCTGAGGTGGGAGGATCACTTGAGCCCAGGAGGTCAAGGCTGCAGTGAGCCAAGATCGCACCACTGAACTCCAGCCTGGGGGACAAAGCGAGACCCTGTCTCAAAAAGAAAAGAAAAACTTAAAACAAAGATAGTGCATTCCTCTGCTTCCTTTCTGGGGACACCCTTCTCTGTAATGGACTAGTTTTCAATAAGTTATCTCTTTTTTTTTTTTTTTTTTTAAGGAGTTTGGCTTTTGTTGCCCAGGCTGGAGCACAATGGCACGATCTCAGCTCACTGCAACCTCTGCCTCCCAGGTTCAAGCAATTCTCCTGCCTCAGCCTCCCAAGTAGCTGGGATTACAGGCACCTGCCACCACGCCCAGCTAATGTTTTTATATTTTTTGTAGAGACGGAATTTCACCACATTGGCCAGGCTTGTCTCGAACTCCTGACCTCAGGTGATCCACTCACCTCATGCTCCCAAAGTGCTGGGATTACAGGCGTGGTGGCTCACACCTGTGATCGGGACCCCTTTTTCTGGTAACGCAAGTATTTGATTAAACTTACATATATTTGACCAGGCATGTGGCTCACACCTTTAATCCAAGCACGTGGGGAGGCTGAGACAGGATGATTACTTCAGCCCAGGAGTTCAAGACCAGACTTGACAACAAAATGAGATCTCACTTCTATAAAAGAAAAAATTGGCCGGGCACAGTGGCTCACGCCTGTAAACCCAACACTTTGGGAGGACGAGGTGAGTGGATCACCTGAGGTCAGGATATGTATATATAGAGAGAGATAGATAGATATAGATATAGATATTCATTCATTCATTAAAGCATTGTGTGATGGGATTTCAAGGTATGTGGATATAATGTATAAGATAATTATAATATAATTATATAAATATAAAGGCAGGAAGACTAAAGAGACCTCTATGATGGTAAGGTTTCTACCTTCCATGTGAAATAGTAAAAGATTTATTCTAAGTAGTCAATGAAGAGTTAAGTTTGTATATTTTAATTCCTAGATAATGAATCACATTAAAAAGTATACAAAAAGATAGAGTCAAAACACAATAGATAAAATAAAAAGAAATACTTCAAAATGTTCAGGCCGGGTGTGGTGGCTCACACCTCTAATCCCAGCACTTTGGGAGGCTGAGGCAGAGGACTGCTTGAGCCCGGGAAGTTCTTAGGTTGCAGTGAGCCCTGATCATGCCACCGCACTCCAACCTGGGCAACAGAGCAAGACCTTCTCTCAAAAAAAAAAAAAAAGAGTTCACAATTGTAGATATTTTTATTAAAATTTTTAAAAAGAAAAGAAAAAAATGTTCAAATAACCCAAAGGAAAGCAAGAAAGCAGAAAGAAACAGATAGTCTGAATATATTTGTATCTAGTAAAAACTGAATTCATACTTGAAAACCTTTTTTAAAAAAGAGAGAAGTTGCTGAATGTTGCTGGCCCCAGAAAGAAAAATTTAAACAGAAAAAGAAAAAAAAAAGAATTTGCAACAATGAGATACCACTATACACCTAGTAGAATGGCCAAAATCTAGAACACTGACAACACCAAATGCTGGTGAGGATGTGGAGCAACAGGAACTCTCATTCATTGCCGGCAAAATGCAAAATAGTACAGTCACTTTGGAAGACAATTTGGTGGTTTCTTTAAAAACTAAACATAGTCTTACCATACCATATTGGAATCATGCTCCTTGGTATCTACTGAAAGGAGCTGAAAACGTACATCCACACAAAAGCCTGCACATGCATGTTTGTTTATTTATGTTTTATCTTCTAGTCTATACCTTTGCAAACACACAGATGTTTGAAGTAGCTTTATTCATAATTGCCAAAACTGGAAAGCGAACAAGATGACCTTCAGTAGGGGAATGGATAAGTAAGATATGGTATATACAGAGAATGGAATATTATTCAGCACTAAGTAAAAATGAGCTATCAAGCCATGAAAAGACATAGAGGAAACTTAAACGCATGTTACTATGTGAAAGATACACACTATATGATTCCAACTATATATGACATTCTGGAAAAGGCAAGACTATGGAGACAGTCAAAAGATCAGTGGTCACTGGGAGTTAGAGGGGAGGGAGGGATGAATAGGCAGAACACAGAGGATTTCAGGGCCGTGAAATTACTCTGTATTATACTATAAAGGTGAAAACATGTCATTATACAGTTAAGTCAACCCATAAAACGTACAACACTAAGAGTGAACCCTCATGTAAACCGTGGACTTGGGGTGATAATGATCAATTGTAACAAATGCTCCACGCTGATGAGGGTTGCTGATAATGGGGAGGCTGTGCATGTGTGGGGGTGAAGGGTATACGGGATATCTCTGTACCTTCCTCTCAGGTTTACTGTAAACCTAAAACTGCTCTTTAAAAAAAAAATTTTTTAAGCCGTTTTTAAAAAGAAGAAGATGATAAAGTTGCCAGGTCCAGATGGTTTCACTGGCAAATTGTGTCAAACATCTAAGAAGAAATAATACCAATTCTACAAAATCTCTTCAAAAAATAAAAGACAGAAACACTTCTCAAATAGCATTACCCTGATACCAAAACCAGAAAAAAGAAAGTATGGGAAAAGTACAGTCCAACTTCCTTCATGAACATAGATGCAAAACATAAGAAAACCCTCAACATAATATTACCAATTCAAATCCAATGTACAAAAATAAGACACCATGACCAAGTGAGGCTTATCCTGGGGATGCAAAACTGACACAATATTCAAAAATCAATGTGGCTGGGTGCAGTGGCTCATGCCTGTAATCCCAGCACTTTGGGAGGCCGAGGTGGGCGGATCGCTTGAGTCCAGGAGTTCGAGATGAGCCTGGCCAACATGGGGAAACCCCATCTCTACTAAAAATACAAAAATTAGTTAAGCATGGTAACACACACCTGTAGTCCCAGCTACTTGGGAGGCTGAGACACGAGAATTGCTTGAACCCGGGAGGCGGTTGCAGTGAGCTGATATAGCATGACTACACTCCAGCCTGGGTGACAGAGAGACTCTGTCTCAAAAAAATAAAACAAATTAAAATAAAATAAAATAAAAAATAAAACAAAAATCAATAAACGCAATCTACCATATTGACATTTGAAAGTAATTGAACCACATAACCATATCAAGTCATGCAGAAAAAGCTTCTGACAAAATTCAACATTGATTCATGATCTTAAAAAAAACTCTTAGCAAACAAAAAGATAACTTTCTTAACCTGATATAAAGCATGCACCAAAAAAAAAACTACAACTTAGATCATACCTTTTTTTTTTTTTTTTTTTTTTTGAGACGTATT